TATAGGCTGGGAGCAAGAACCCAAAGATGCCGGGTGGACCAGGTCCATAGGAGGAAACAAGAATGCAGAAGAGACTTGTTCTATGGCTGCACGGCACCTATGAAGCTGTGTTAACACTCTCGATGCTATCCTCCAGGCATGATGAAGCTGTGTGAGAACACACTGTGTTATCCTCCAGGCATGATAAAGCTGTGTGAGAACACACTGTGTTATCCTCCAGGCATGATGAAGCTGTGTTAACACTATGTTATCTGTCAGGGTGATGAAGCTGTGTGAGAACACACTCTGTTAACTATGGTGCCCCATTCTGTCCGCAGCGATCACTGAAGTAGCAAGCTCCCAAAACCAGTTTGTACATGGGCTGAGAGGAGGCTTGGTGTATAAAAGTGCTTGCTGTACAAGCATGGCAACCCGTGTTCAAATCCCCAGGACTCACTTTAAAAGCCTGGTAAAGAGCCGGCGGTGGTGGCGCATGCCTTTGATCCCAGCACTCGGGAGGCAGAGGCAGGCGGATCGCTGTGAGTTCCAGACCAGCCTGGTCTACAAGAGCTAGTTCAGGGCAGCCTCCAAAGCCACAGAGAAACCCTGTCTCGAAGAAAGAAAAAAAAAAGGCCAGGTAAAGTCCCCTACACACCACACACACACACACACACACACACACACACACACACACACACACACACTCTGAAGGGCTTCAGATCCCTTGACAGACCCTGCCTCAAGGGAATAAGGTGTGGGTGACAGGTCAGGACACCTGACCCCTCCTCTGGCCTCCTAACTTGAACTTTCTTCAGTAGGCACATACACTCACAACACACATGCACATCCATCTGTGAGAACAAGGGGCTCTGTCTCAACTCCTCCTCCTCCATAGTGTTTATGGCCAGGCACCCAGGATACAGAAACAGCAGGATCTTAAAGCCAGCCTGGTCTACCGAGTAAGTTCCACGGCAGTCAGGGCTGTGTAGAGAAACCCTGTCTCAAGAAACTAAATAAATACAATTGCCTTTGAAAGTCATTTAGTAGCAATGCCTTCCTTACACGGCCCAGGGTCTCGCCCCTCTCCTCCTCCATCTCACTCGTCTTTGGGGATGGGCGGTTAGCAGGGATCAAACTCATGACCGTGTGTGCCTGCATGGCGGATGTCACACTGAGCTGTTCTCCAGCCCCCACAGAGTTCTTCCATAACACATTTTATTCCCTGACTAGACACAGTTACCTCCTCTGCCCTCTCCCCAGGACATGAGAACACCATATTTACTTCATGGCTGTTTTCCCCAGCATCTAGAACAGCGCCCAGCACGTTGCAGGTGCTCCATAAATACTTGTGGAGTGAAGACACACAGTCGCTCCGCTCAACAGAAAGGCTGCCTGCTCGGCCTGTTTCCCCATCTCACAGAAAGAGCTGCTGGTCACCCAGCGTCCATTTTATGCTGAGTTTATGGCTTGTTTGTGTGGTTTTTTTTTTTTTTTTTTTTTTTTTTTTGGTTTTTCGAGACAGGGTTTCTCTGTGGCTTTGGAGGCTGTCCTGGAACTCGCTTGGTAGTCCAGGCTGGTCTCGAACTCACAGAGATCCACCTGCCTCTGCCTCCCGAGTGCTGGGATTAAAGGCGTGCGCCACCAACGCCCGGTTCCTTTTTTTTTTTATTGTTTTATTTTTGTGAGCTTTTTTTTTCTTTCTTTCTTTTTAAGATAATTCTTGGGATGTAACCCAGGCTGGCCTAGAACTTGCTGGATTCAAACTCAGGGTCTTCCTGAGTTGTTGGGATGAAAGGCCTGTGCTACTATTACCCAGCAAGAGGCTAACCTCCTCTTCAGTAGTCCAGTAGTCCAGGCTAACCTCCTCTTCAGTAGTCCAGTAGTCCAGGCTAACCTCCTCTTCAGTAGTCCAGTAGTCCAGGCTGGTCTTAACTTGCCATGCAGCTGACGATAACCTTGAATTTCTGGTTCGAGTCTTGAATTTGGGATTAGGGACCCGCCCCACTGTTTCACCCAGGCTATTAAATAAGCACTCCTTTCTTCCTCATGCCTTCCGCAGTCCCTTGGGAGAACTCCAGATTGCTGCTGGTAGGAGACTGAAGAATCCAAGACTGGAGCTCAGCCTCATCTCCCTCTGCCTCCCAGGGCCTTTCCCTTGCTCCTGTTTGCAGACTCCAGCTCTTTCTCACCAAGGATAAAAACAGACCTTTCTATCAGGGAGAATGTTCCTGAGAAGGGAAACACTGGGAACTGTGGGAAACACTAGGAACTACCTTTCTCTTCTTCCTTTTTTTCGAGACAGGGTTTCTCTGTGGTTTTGGAGGCTGTCCTGGAACTCACTTTGTAGACCAGGCTGGCCTCGAACTCACAGAGATCCGCCTGCCTCTGCCTCCCAAGTGCTGGGATTAAAGGCGTGCGCCACCAACACCCGGCTCCTTTTTTTTTTTTTCTAAGACAAGATCTCATTTAGCCAACACAGCTGTCCTTGAACTCCCTAGTATCCAAAGGTAGCCTTGAACTTCTGGTCTTCCTACCTCTTCCTCCCGAGTGCTGCGATGACATGCAGCCCTGCCATGCCTGGTAAGTACAGTAAGCCCCGGGTTTTAGCCCAGGGCTTGCCGTGCGCTAGGCACACGGTCTCCCAGGTCAGCTATGTTCCCAGCTGTCTTTGTTTTCCTTCATAGTTTATGACTCAGTGGTGGACCATCGACAGGAGCTGGGACATCGCTTAGGAATCAGGTCATAGCTCACATTCCCGTGGGCTTCCAGCCAGGAACCAGTCCACTTGGGCCTCTTAGACCCAGTATGACAGGTGCTTGAGGAAGTTCTGAGGGACCTGGGGGTGGTGCCCAACCATTAGAGGGCGGAGGGTAGGTCTTCCTGGAGGTGGGCGTCTATAAGTTCCAGAACAGTGTGTAAGTGTGCAAGCCAGCCCTTGGCAGAGAGCCTGTAATTCCTTCTCCCTGGGAGGCCCAGGCAAGAAGGTTAAAGTTCAGGGTTAGCCACACACACACACACACACACACACACACACACACACACACACACACACAAAGGTTTCCACTCAGTGTCTGTCTGAGAGATAAAGACTGTAGACTACTTGTTCAAAGGACCCAGGTTCAGTTCCCAGCACCTATACGGCAGCATAGAACTGTAACTCCAGTTCCAAGGCATCTGATGCCCTCGTCTGCCCCCTCAAGCTCCTACACACACACACACACACACACACACACACACACACACACACACACACACACACACACCTAAGATACAGAGCAACCCCAGGCAACTTAGCAAAACCCTGTCTCCATTTTTTTTTAAAAAGGAAGACTGGGTACTGGAGAGAGGTTAAGAGCACTGGCTGCTCTTCCAGAGGACCTGAGTTCGATTCCCAGCACCCACATGGTGGCTCACAACCATCTGTAATGAGATATGATTCCCTCTTCTGGCAGAACACTGTATGCATAATAAATAAAATAAACATCAAAAAAAAAAAAAAGGCTGGGTTGGGAAGACTGGGGTGTAGCCCAGTGGCAGATGGCTTACCAGCCAGCTGCAGGGATCTGGGCGCAATCCTCAACACAAAACCCAGTCAGGTGGGGGCGGGGTGAGGGTGGGGGCGTGGGAACCTGGGAAGATGTGGCTGCCCAGGGGACATAGCAGCACTGTAAGCTGTCAGGCACGGGCCCACCTCTGCTAAAAGAGGGGGCTCCGTAGAGAAGCTAGGGTGTCTGCAGGATTAGCAGGCATAGCTTCCCCAGAGAGAGGACGGCCTCCCGTTTTCCCCCAGCCTCTGGTGTCCACCGACTGAGCAGTTCTTGAGTCTGACTCCCTCCTGGTGACTGACACTTGTGATGTCTTTTCTAGGACGTCCCAAGAGGAGAACCACACCCCTCCAGCATTTGCCTGGGTTTTGAGGATCCAAACTCCCTGGCTCTGGAGTTACAGGTATTGTGAGCTGGGAGTGTCGGTGCTAGGGACCGAACTCGGGTCCCCTGGAAGAACAGGATGTGATTTTAACCACTGAACCGTCTTCTCTGCAGACTGGAAAAGAAAAATAATTCCAAGGAAAATAAAGGCCCCTTTCAGATAGACTGACAGCAGCTATACAAAGTGCCCAGGGACAGCCGCTTTCTAAGGGCTCAGAGCTCCCTGTTATCCTCTGAGGCTGCGCCTCCTGTCAGCTGCTGTCCAGCCCTTAGCCCAGTGCCTCTGGCCCCAGCCTCCACCCAGGCTGTCTCCATTTGCTGGCCTAACCGGCATTATTAGTCAGCATTTGATACCTTTATTGAACACACACAGCCTCCTTCCTCTGTGCCAAACACCGGGGTGACAGGCGCCTACCCGAGACTTCTTTTCTCCTCTCCTTTATGCAATCATCAAGAAGGCCTCTGGTCACCCATTGGTGGAAACACACACCTGTAATCCCAGCACCCTCTGGTCACCCATTGATGGAAACACACCCCTGTAATCCCAGCACCGCAGCTGAAGCAGAAGGATTGCTACAAGTTTAAGGGCAGCCAGGGTTACTAGTGAGTCTCAGGTCAGAAATGGTTACAGTGAAGCTGTCTCCAAGCAGATGAATTGTATCTAGTACCGTGGCCCACAGCAGGCAGCGCGCTGAGAGTTCACGCACAAATAAAAAACAAGATGTAAACAAGATGTAGTTTTGACCCTGAATCAACTAAAGTAAAGGGGGCTGGAGAGGGCTCAGCAGTTGAGAGCAGTTGTTGCTCTTGGCAGAGGACCAGGATTCAATTCCCAGCACCCACACGGTGGGTCACAACCATCTATAATGCCAGTTCCAGAGGATCCAACTCAACTCCTTTTTCTGACCTCTGAGGGCATTAGACACACACACATCCTGCACATATGTACAACCAGGTAAAACAGTCATACACATCAGGCGGATCTCTGTGAGTTCGAGGCCAGCCTGGTCTACAGAGTGAGTTCCAGAACAGAAAAGAAATAAACATCACTCTGGGGAAGGGAATACATATACTCAGTCACACACAGGTGGGTCATCATCTTCTAGGGAGAACTAGAATCTTGTTGTATTTATTGGGAGATGTGCATGGGTGCTCAGGTAGCAAGGCATAGATTTACTGTGACTGATTTCCTGTCACCTTAATGGGATTAAATGACCACCAGGCAGCTGACAAAAAAATTAACTATTTTTGATGACTTGAGAGACACTGAGCCACCCATGTTCTGCTGAAAGGGAAAGAGGAGGAGTGACCTAGTTTGGTCAGAATGTCCCAGGTGTGTCCATGAAGGTCTTTCTGGAAGGATCAGAGTGTGAGTCAGTGACTGAGTGGGGGACTCCCAGGCAAAGACAGCAGGGGCCATTCAGGCAGGGGGCCGAGATGGGCGGAGCCTCACTCTCTGGAGCACCAATGGTGCTCCTGATGCCTTTTACAGTTAGACCTCCCGATCCCCAGCCAGGTTGGGTGGGGGCGGGGAGCGGCTCCTCCATAGGTGAGGAACTCTTGTTGCTTTGGCAGAGAATCTGAGGTTTGGTTCCTCGAACCCACATTGCAGCTGACAACTGTCTGGATTCTGGTTCCGGAGGATCCAACACCCTTCTTCTGGATTCCTCAGGAACCTTCTACTCTACGGTTCACCGACATCCAGGTAGAACCTACACACATACAAAATCAGAAGGGTCAAGTCAGTGTCTTCACTACTACGACTGTGATGAAACACCGTGGCCAAAACAACTCGGGGAGGAAAGGGTTAACTTCCACATCATCACTGTTCCCACCAAAGGAAGTCAGGACAGGAACTCAAAATGGCAGGACCTGGAGGCAGGAGCTGATGCCAAGGCCATGGAGAGTGCTGCTCACTGGCTTGTTCCTCACGGCTTGCACAGCCTGATTTCTCTCTCTCTTTTTCTTTACTTCTACTTAGTGTTTTTTTTTTTTAGTTTTATGGTGTTTTGCCTGTATGTATGTATGTATGTATGTATGTATGTATGTCTGTCTGTGTGTGTTGGATCCTGGAATTACAGACAGCTGTGAGCTGCCATGTGGGTGCTGGGAATTGAACTCAGGTCCTCTGGAAGAGCAGTCTGTGCTCTTAACCACGGAGACATTTTCCGAGCCCCAGCAGACAGCTTTCTTATAGAACCCAGGACCACCAACCCAGGGATGACACCACCCACTATGGGCTGGGCCCTCCCCAACCAATCACTAATTACTTGAAAATGCCCTACAGGTTTGCCTACAGCCCAATCTTATGAAGGCATTTCCTCAGTTGAGGCTCCCTCCTCCTGATGACTCTAGCTTGTGTCAAGTTGACATAAAAGTAGCCAAGACATCTGATCCCTTGGTAACTAGACACACAAACACATCACTGTTAAGCTAAAGCCTTTCTTGTTCATCCCCAAGATTACACATTAATAAAGACATCATAGTATAAAACATTTGACAAACTTCGAAGTCCCAGAGCCTTGCAAATTCAAACACTTTAAAACTTTTCTCTTTAAAAATATCCAGCCTCCATGGGCGGTGGTGGCGCACACCTTTAATCCCAGCACTCGGGAGGCAGAGGCAGGTGGATCTCTTTGAATTCGAGGCCAGCCTGGTCTACAGAGTGAGTTCCAGGACAGTCTCCAAAACAATGCAGAGAAACCCTGTCTCGAAAAAAAAAATTTAGTCTCAACTGTGGGCTCCTATGACATCAGAAAATAAATTGAGTAATTTCTTACTTCAAGAGGGAAAACCAGGGCACAGTCACATTCTGAACAAAACAGAACGAGAACCCTACCGTATAAGCAACTCAGCGTTCCATATCTGAGACCCACTCACGATCTCCTGGGCTCCTGCAAAGGGCTTGGGTCACTTCTCTGGCTCTGCCCTGTGTAGCACACACAGCTGTCTTCCAGGCCTCGGCAGGCTGCCCTCCACCATTGCCGCTGCTCCTGGTGGCACTGGCATCTCCGAAACTGCCGGGGTCTCTTGCTCTTACCAGGATGCACTTTCTTTTTTTTTTTTTTTTTTTTTTTTTTTTTTTTTGGTTTTTCAAGACAGGGTTTCTCTGTAGCTTTGGAGGCTGTCCTGGAACTCACTTTGTAGACCAGGCTGGCCTCGAACTCACAGAGATCCGCCTGCCTCTGCCTCCCGAGTGCTGGGATTAAAGGCATGCGCCACCAACGCCGGCTCCAGGATGCACTTTCACCCACAGCGTCTCTGGGCGCTCTTCAGGGAATCCAACCCTGCCACACAGAGCCGAGTCTCAGCTGCTCTCCAGCACCTGCCACCCCTTCATGCCTTCCGAAGCAGTAGCACCTGGATGATGCTTATGCTACCAAGCCCGGCTGCCAGCGGGAGACACAGCCTTGGCCGCCTCTGGAACACAGCTTCTGTGTGCTGACCCTGAGGAATTGCTTCCCAGAAGGTTTCACCTCAGTCATGCTGGACTCCTCTTAATCACAGCTGGTTCTTCAGCCCCAGCTGACCAGACGCCACAGAAATCTTCACCCAAAGGGCCCAGTAGAATCTTTACTTCCCTCTGAAATGTCACAAGCCAGGCCTCCATCTTGTGTACTGCTCTGGGCATTCTTATCTTCCAGGCTCCTACAGAACAGTTCACCGACCTCTCAATACTCAGCGGCTCTTCTAGCCAGAAGTTTCCAAGTCCACCCACCCACAATCCTCTGCAAAACACGGTCCCGTCTGTCATAGCAATACTCCCCCACCATCCTGGTACCAGCTTGTCTTAGTTCAGGGGAATGTTGCGCGATGGTACAGCATGACCAAAAGTAACGTGGGGAAGAAAGGGTTTATTTCACTCTCGGTTTCACATAACAGTTCATCAAAAGCAGTGAGGACAGGAACTTAATCAGGGCAGGAACCTGGATGCAGGAGCTGCTGCATGGAAGGGGTCCTACGGGTGGGTGTTGCTTACTGACTGGCTTGCTCCTCAGGGTTACTTAGTCTGCTTCCTTTCTTTCCTTCTTCCTTTCTTTCTTTTTTTCTCTTTCCTTCTTTCTTCCTTCCCTTTCTTTCTTTTTTGTTTTTTGTTTTTGTTTTGTTTCCTTTTGTCTTGTTTTGCCAGACTGGGTTTCTCTGTGTAATAGCCCTAGCTGTTTTGAAACTCGATCTATAGACCAGGCTGGTCTCGAACTCACAAAGATCCACCTGCCTCTGCCTCCCGAGTGCTGGGGTTAAAGGTGTGCGCCACCGCTGCTGGGCTCCCTATAAGCTTTTAAAGAGTTTTGTTTTATCAAGACAGTCTCTCTTGTAGCCCAAACTGGCCTCAGACTTGGTACTTAGCCAAGGATAACCTTGAACTCCTGATCCTCCTGCCTCCATTTCCCTGCAGAGCTGGGACAACAGGTGTGTGCCATCTGCTCATTACTGTGAGGACAGACCTTACACCTGCTCCTAATGAACATTTGCATGGAGATGGATAACCATTGCCACCAAAACCCATTGTCCTCTCTCCTTGTCAGCGCCAGTCAGTCACGTGGCTACTTGAAGAACACAGATTAAATTTTCCAGTGTTTCTTTTTTTTTTTTTTTTGGTTTTTCGAGACAGGGTTTCTCTGTGGCTTTGGAGGCTGTCCTGGAACTGGCTCTTGTAGACCAGGCTGGTCTCAAACTCACAGAGATCCGCCTGCCTCTGCCTCCCCAGTGCTGGGATTAAAGGCGTGCGCCACCAACACCCGGCTCCAGTGTTTCCTATAGATTGTTGTAGACACGTGACACAATAAAAGCAAATAAGATGTAAGCAAAAAGGTTGCTAGTAAACACTGAAGACAGATTCCTTCAAAAATCCTTTTACATGCATATTTCACCCCAGGGGGTAAAGAGATGAGAGGGAAGCTGGGCGGGCGTTGGTGGCACACACCTTTAATCCCAGCACTTGGGAGGCAGAGGCAGGCGGATCTCTGTGAGTTCGAGGCCAGCCTGGTCTACAAAGTGAGTTCCAGGACAGCCTCCAAAGCCACAGAGAAACTCTGTCTCGAAAAAAAAAAAAAAAAAAAAAGAGATGAGAGGGAATGATGGGTGGACCCCATGACCCCTGGGGCTACTGCAGGTAACTAAGCCTGCACCTCATGGCATCTTGCTATATTGTTTAGCCCGGGCTGGTGTGGAACTCACTAAGCCTTAGAGGATGACCTCCAATGCCTGAACCTCCTGCCTCCACCTTCCGAGGTGGCTGGGTTTACAGGCAAGCTCCACCACAGCACCCAACCAGCATCCTGCTCCTAGTAAAAGGCTTTTACTTCCTGTGTCACAAGAAGAATACGTATCCCTTTAAGTATGTGATTTTTAAAAATGTGTGGTATGTAAGCATATCTCCGTCATAGCGTGGTCCCAGCACCTGCCCCCTCCACCCCCTGATGACACATCTCTCTAATTTTACACTACAGTCAAAACGAGGACGTTAATTCAGTCCTCGTTTATTTATATCAATCCACGGGGAGAATGCACTCCACAGCACGAATAATCTCACCGGAAAGGGACTTCCGTGGTATATTTGGCTCAGAGACGTGCTTTCATTGATGGGGGGGGAAAGGAAAGAAGTGAACACTGGGGAAAAAAAAGAGTCATTTTTACCCAGGGGTAGTTTATACGCAGAAGACACAGCAGGCATTTTAAGTGCTCACTCGGTAGAGTCTGTTTTTGACAAAGATCCGCAACCACACAGGCATCACCACACGCAGGACGTTAACACGTGTCCACACCCTTTCCCCGAGGTTCCTGGAGCTGTTTTCAGTCATCCATCCCTACCCCCACAACTCGCTCCAGGTCATCACCAAGCTACTTTCTGCCACGGTGATGAATTCTAGCTCCGTCCCAAAGTCTTCTTCCAATGGTGTCATACAGGCTGTGACTGGTTTGTAGGAATGACCATGATTGGGTGACAAAAGACTTTACAAACCCGTGACTGCTTCTCTCTTTCGTGGATGAGGAACCAAAACTCAGAAACTAGATATGCGTCAAGTTCATGTGAAAAGTTAAAGTCAGAAGAGAATTCAACTGCAACATGTCTCCAAGTCATGGAGGGGTTCCGCTTCATGTGAGCTCTCAAGGTCCCAGGAAGTTAGATACGCAATGGTAAAATTTTGAAAATTTAATTATTTGTTTCCACCTCATAGTCATGGGCTGGAAATGTGGTTCAGTTGATAGAGAGCTTGTCTAGCATCCTAGGAGTCCTGGGTTCTGTTCCCAGCACCAATAGACCAGGCATTGAGACACACATTTGTGTCCCAGCACTTGAGAGGTAGAGACAGGAAGATCAAAAGTTCAAAACTAGCCTAAGCTATAAAAAATTATATATATATATCAGGACCCAGAGAAATGGTTCAATGGTTAAGAGTGCACCCTAGTCTCACGGAGGACCCAAGTTTGTTTCCCCTGCATTCTCACCAACCTAACTCTAGCTCCAGAGGACCGAGTGTCATCCTCGGGTCTCAACTGAGGGCACACCCCTACACAGACACACGCATACTCATAAATATAAACTGAAAATAAGCCGGGCGTTGGTTACGTACACCTTTAATCTCAGCACTGGGGAGGCAGAGGCAGGCGGATCTCTGTGAGTTCGAGACCAACCTGGTCTACAAAACCTAGTTCCAGGACAGCCTTCAAAGCCACAGAGAAACCCTGTCTCGAAAAAGGCTATGCACGGCATTCAGGACGGCAGGTTATATCTGGGGGCAATGGGGGCATAAACTAAGAAGGTGATCTTGTCACATAGGCAGACATAGAAGGACAGGACTGCTACTATCATGCTTTTAGCCCAGGATGGCCTACACTTATTGATGTAGCTGAGGGTGACTCTGAAGATCCGATCCTCCGGTTTCTGCTTCCCTGTGCAGGGATTACAGGCCTCACACTCTCTACCTGGGGCTTCGTACACACTAGGGAAGCACGCTGCCAACTGAGCCTTATCCCCAGCTGGCTCACTGTTGGCTCTAGAGCTTGGCGTTGGACGAGCCAGCTGTGTTCAGCTCCTGAGACTGTATCCCCGGACCTAAGGTCACCAAGAATTCTGCACATCGGATGTCCTATTACAGTACATAAAACTGATACAGCCCTCTCAGCTTGCGCCCCCCCACCCCCGTCCCCCAGGTTCTGCTTTGTTCCCACTTCCTCTCACAGCCACCGGAGGGGTCACTGCAACCTCGCTGTTGGCAATCGGGGTTAGTAGCACAGGGCCACTGCGGAAATGAACGAGGGGGGGGGGGGAGGGCGAGGCCGTATCTGTTCCAACACTGCTCTCGATAGGTCCTTGTGGTGAGGGTTTCCAAGAACCAGCGGAGCAGTTAAAGGTGCTGAGCAACACTTACGAGAAACGCGCCCGGCCCCACCCCACCCCCACCCCTTGGCCCCTCTCTCCCCCAGTTTGCGGTCTCCAGCCCTTCCTCCCCTCCAGGACGCACAGGTGCAGAGTGTGTCTATTTCCACAGAGCAGGGTTCCTCCCCCAGCTCTGCACGAACCAGCCTGGAGGGGCTCTGAGATGAGCCACCACTCAGATACCTAGTTGCCGGCAACCGCGACTCGGGTTCGATCCTCACCACCAAGAGGGAAATGGTGTCGGCTAACAAAGTAGTAATGGGCAAGGATGATATCTGCACCCGTTATTTCAAGACTCTCACCTTACCAATTCTTTAGTTCTATTTTGTTTTTTCGGAACACTGTCATGTAGCCCAGGCTGGTCTTGGATAAGCTGAAGATGACCCTGAACTCCTATCCTCCTCCCTCCCTCTCCCAAATGCTGCCATTAGGCTAACCCAGCTCACACAGCAAGAAATACTATTCTAAGCCGGGCGTTGGTGGCACACGACTTTAATCCCAGCACTCTGGAGGCAGAGGCAGTTGGATCTCTGTGAGTTCGAGGCCAGCCTGGTCTACAAAAGCTAGTTCCAGGACAGCCTCCAAAGCCACAGAGAAACCCTGTCTCGAAAAACCAAAAAAAAAAAAAAAAAAAAAAGAGAGAAAGAAATACTATTCTATACTGGGCAGTGGTGGCACCCGACTTTAATCCCGGCACTCAGGAGGCCGAAGTAGACAAATCTTTGTGAGGTCAAGGCCAGCCTGGTCTACAGAGTGAGTTCCAGAACAGCCAGACCTACACAGTGTAAAGCTGTCTAGAAAAACAACAAAACAGACAAACAAACAAAAAATCACTATTATTATTATTACTGATGGGGGCACATGCCATGGTACACATGGGGAGGTCTGAGGAAACTTAGAGGACTCAGTTCTCTCCTTCCATGGGGGCTTCTTGAGTCCTAGTGGTTGAACTCAGATCATCGGGTCTGGCAGGAAGAGCCTTTACCAACCAATGCAGAGCCATCCCACAAACCCTCAAAATACTATTATGCTTCACACACTTTCAAATGTAAAAAATCTCTGAGCCAGGCACTGGGGCACTGTAATCACAGTACCAGGAGGGGAGAGCAAGGTCAGGAGTTCAAGGTCACCCTCTGCTACTTTTCAGGTTGGAGGCCATAAGATCAATATTAAATGAGGGAGGAGGATTACCATTGGGAGTGAGAGGAGAAAAGAGGGATGGAGGTAACGTAATGAAAATACATTAGATGCGGCCGGGCGTTGGTGGCACACGCCTTTAATCCCAGCACTCGGGAGGCAGAGGCAGGCAGATCTCTGTGAGTTCGAGGCCAGCCTGGACTACCAAGTGAGTTCCAGGACAGCCTCCAAAGCCACAAAGAAACCCTGTCTCGAAAAAAACAAAAAACAAAAAAAACAAAACAAAAAGAAAATACGTTAGATGCATGTATGAAGACGTCAAATGGGAGACCGGAGGGTTGCTTCAGGGGTTAAGAGCATTGGCTGCTCTTCCTGAAGACCTGGGTTCAATTCCCAGAACCCACATGACAGCTCACAACTGTCTGTAACTGCAGTCCTCGGGCCCCAGGCACATTCATGGCACATGGATGTAGGCAGGTAAATACCCATACACATGTGAAGTGGGGGAAATAATTGATGTCAACATGGAGCCTACCCAAAGCAGACTTAGAGTTTATCAAAACAGTTTAAGGGCAGTGGAATGACTCAAAAAGCAAGGGTCCACGCGGCCAGGCCAGACAGCCTGGTAACTTGAGTTTCTTCCCGGGATCCACATGATGGAGGCACAGAACAAGCCCTGGCCAGTTGTCACCAGACCTTCACATGTCACTGCGGCGTCGGATCCCAGCCATTGCTACACACTGAGACCCTGCTCAAAAACAAAATTAAAATGGTAATAACAACCAGGGAAATGCTGCTTCCCTTTGAAGTCACGGAATGGGAATGCACCCCCTCTCCTGCCTCCTACACAGTAAGCACAGCTATGGCTATAATGTCAGAAGCATGCTGTGTGCTGAACTCAGGAGCAAACCAAGAGTGACAGAAACACCCTGGTCTCCACCTCTTGGAGAGGAAGCAGTGCCACAATAGATAGCTGACCTATCCCTCTCTCCGGTCACAACCAGCTTCTTACTCCAGAGAGATGACAACCACAGTCCTGGCACCTCCACCCCAGGACCTGCCTGGTACGTCCTGACCCTGCAGGAGGGATTTGCGTGTGCCATACACCTGATAATATCTAGTCATTCTTTCTAATAACCTAATCAAGAACAGGTCCTGCTACTCACTGGCCCCTCCCTCATTGGTCCCAGTAATATAACCAGGTCATGGAGAATGAAGAGTAATGGTAGAATCTGAACACAAAGCTGATTCTCCAGTGGATGTCCTTAACCATTGTTCCTAAACTGCCTTGACACAGAGACCAGCTAGGACCTTTCACCTTCTCAAGGAGATCTTAGTCTCAACTGGACACACCTGCAGTCCCAGGGTTCAAATCTAGCCTGGAATGCATATGATGCTGTTTAAAAAAAAAAAAAGAAGAAGAAGCAGGGTGTGGTGGCACATACCTTTAAGTTAGCCCTCTGGGAGGCAGCGGCAGGTGGATCTCTGTGAGTTTGAGGCCAGCCTGGTCTAGTGAGTTCCAGGACAGCCTCCAAGACAATACAGAGAAACCCTGTCTCGAAAAACAACAACAAACCTTGTCTCACAAACCAAACCATCTCCTGACCTCTGACCTCTTCTACTCTAAGAATGCACTTGCCTTTAATCAGACACATTGCCTCTCCCCCTCAGCCCACCCCTTCCCCTCAACCCACCGCTCCCGGGCTGCCGCAGTCTCAACAGCTGAGCAAAGGACCTCCAACTCATTTCAAGGGCGAGAAGGGTGGGACTTTGCCTGATTTCATTAGAAATTTCTGGCAACTTTCAACTGTTCACTTGCAACTTTACTGGAAAGGATGCCACACGTGCCTAGACTCCGGGAGCTGCCTTGTAGTGTGTTTACAGGAAGGAGGAGGGGATGAAGGGGTAGGGAAAAGGGGAACTTCAGCAAACACCCACCCCAGAACTGAGAAATCTTTCCTTCCTTTCTGCAGCCACATGGGAGGCTGTGCTGGACTTGGGGACCTAAACAGTGAAGAGAGGGCCCTGTGGCTGGGATCGTCCACTAAACAAAAGTGCATGGGCCCAATTTCCCTAGAGATTATGGATTCACAGAGAAGAGGTCAAGTTGACCCACAGCGAGGAGGCAAGAATGTTAGAATTGTTACTAATGTGCATAAAGAAACAAGAGAGCCAAGTTTACACCTGGGTGTGGCGACCACAAGCCTGTGATCTGATCCTAGATGCAGGAAGATCAGGAGTTCAAAACTGTCCTGCACCATCTAAGCAGTTTTGTCCCCAGAAAGAAAGCATTTATTTATTTATTTATTTATTTATTTATTTATTTATTTTTTTGAGACAGGGTTTCTCTGTGGCTTTGGAGGCTGTCCTGGAACTCGCTTGGTAGTCCAGGCTGGTCTCGAACTCACAGAGATCCGCCTGCCTCTGCCTCCCGATGCTGGGAAAGAAAGCATTTATTAACATTTGGTACATGAATCAACAGCGGTTCAAATATTAGGACACACTCAGGCCACACATGTGGGGCAAATTGGGGGTCCCATCCCCCGGTATAGTCTAACACTCAAAACAGGTCTACAGAACCAAGAACTGATGACAACAGCTGCAGGAAGAACCCTACAAGTCAGGTGTTTCTACACAGCCAATGTCCAACACTCCCACTAAAGGTGGAGGGACCCGAACCAAGCTCTAATCCAGCACTGTGGCCCGAGTTTGTGATCCCAATACTCAGGAAGCCAAGACGGGGAGATAGATGGCTGTGAGTTCAAGGCCAGCCAAGGCTACAAAGTCAGACCCTATGACAAGCACTTCACATTTTCTAAAGGTCGTTCGTGTATGAATGCCGGTCTACCTGTATATCTGGACACTGCGTGTGAGTGTCAGATCCCCTGGAACTGGAATTATAAACAGCTGTGAAGTCATATGGGTGCTGGGAACCAATTCTAGGTCCCCTGCAAGAACAAGCGTTTTCTTTTTATTGGATGCTTTGTTTTCTTTTTATTTTGGATGTTTTGTCTGCATGTATGTGTGCATGATTTTGTGCATGTAGTGCCTATAAGAGGTCAGAAGAGGGCACTGGAGTCTGGAACTGGATTAACAGGTGATTGTGAACCACCTTTTGGGTGCTCAAAGTTGAACCCAGGTCCTCTGGAAGAACTCAACCAATGAACCATCTTTCCAAATCCACCCTCTGTCCCCACCTTCTGAAACGGGACCTATACAGTCCTGGAACTCTGTAGCCCAGGCTAGCTTTGAACTCATAGGCTGACCTTGAACTTCTGATTCTGATTCATGCTTTCATGAATACAGGGGTTTATAGATTTACATCAGCACATCTGTTGTTCAGCATATTTTGAGATCTGCCCTATGCTAGTCTTAAACTTCTGGACTCCAACTGATTCTGCTAGGCAGATGCTTACCTCTAATCTCAAAATCTATTCCAGTGGAGGTGGGCAAGTTTGCACACCTTTAGTACCTACACTTGGGAGGCAGAGGCAGGATGATCCAGGAATTCCAGAGCAGCCTGATCTATAGCCGGGTGGTGGTGTCCCATTTAATCCCAGCACTCTGGAGGCAGAGGCAGTCAGATCTCTGAGTTCGAGGCCAGCCTGGTCTACAAAACCTAGTTCTAGGACAGCCTCCAAAGCCAGAGAAACCCTGTCTCCAAAAACACCAAAACCAATCCAAAAGTGCCGCCTGTGGCCATGCCTGTAACCCCAGAATTTGATAGTAGTAGCAAGATAATGCTCAGTGCCAGCCCCAATTACAAGACACCAAGCAGGGCAAAACTCTTCCCTGCCAAGTCTTGTCTAACAGGCCTGATGTTCCTACAATTTGGCTGCTACCTGCTTTAGAACGGTGATAATCACCAACTTCTGGGGAAGGAAATTGGTCTTAGTTTAAGGGGGGGGGTTCTTACTGGAGATTTCCTCAGACACAGAAGGCCAGCATCCCATTCTAACACTGGGCTGTCCAAAAAGTCCTGTTACTTCTGTGCCCCACCAGGAAACCTGACTCCAGTCTCAAACAGCCTTTTTCCACCTGGCTCTGAACCAAGCATACACGAATGGAAAACACCACCACGGGTTAAGACAAAAGGTTTTTATTCAAAAAATGCCAAGTATAAAAAAAAAAATAAGATCTCTTTTATTCCCCTGTACAGTATTTCACTCAGATAAAACCAGCAGGCTACAAGCTGCTCAAACAAGCTCAGCCCCAAAGAGGATCTGGAAGGCACACCATGCTGGAACTGCCTTTCCGTCTTATGTACAGTCAGCGATGCCCCTTCCCAGACAGCCCAGACCCACTCCAGGGAGCAGGCAAGGGGCCCCCACAGAAGGAACTACAGCAGCTGTCCCAGAGCCCCTTCGTCCCAGCAAGCATCGCAGCCCTCCCCAAAAGGTCCCCAAGTCAAGAGGGGAAAAAAAAAACCAAAACAAAAAAACCAGAACATGACAATAAAATCCTCGGGCAACAGCCAGTGGAAGTTTGGAACAGGAAGGCAACCAAATAAATAAATAAATAAATACATTAACATTGACTTCCAGGCTAGAACGTGCCATCTTTCAAAAACAAAACAAAAAAAAAAAAAACACCCCAACACATAAAATATAACTTAAAGGCTTTTTTTTCTTTAAATTGTATCCACTACAATCCTTTTGCAGGCTACCGCGCCGACTGTACACATTTACACCTTGTCTGGTGCTGCATTGGTCGTGCATCCGGTCTGAGGTCTCGCTTTGAAACAGTTGAGTAGAAACCAGAAAGGAAGACCAGTTCACTCGGGGGTTCACTACAGGAGTCAGAGAAAAGGGGCAGGTGGCTCAGCAGTTGGCCCTGGAGCCTCTTCCAATGGCACCTTTCACAGGAAGTGGGGGGGGGGGGGCAGGGCAAAGAGTAAGGAACCAAACCAGGCAGATTTTTGGAGAAGCAGCAGGTAAGAGGCAAGTTCAAGTATTCCTCCCAGCACAGCCGGAGTCCCCACAGAAGGCACTCAGAGGAGTTGGAAGAGGTGACAGGGACTTAAATATGGTGCTAGTTTGTTTTTTGTTTTTTTTTCTTTAATCCCACCCCCAACATGTTTGTCCCCCTACCCTAGCCCATCTTGGTGACCTGAAGTCTCCATGGTGACTAAAGTTCCATGGCAGGGCTTTGACCCACTCCCACCCCCCCCCACCCCAGTATTCTTCGGAGCCCAGCAAAACTAGACACTGTGAGAGCATCTATGGTGGGGTAGGGCATAGGGGCCTGGGAACGTGAAAGTAGAGTCTCTCTCCCCCGTGGGAGGATGCTCCAGGAACCTGGAGTCTGGAATGAGTTGTCACTGCTGTTCCTGCATGAAGTAAGGTCCTGCTGGAAGCCGGAGACAGCTCTCCCTCCCCAGAGTGTCTGATAAAAAAGGCTGCTATTTGCTGGGTGCCGGTGATAGGCTGCGCAGGTGAATCTCAGCCGTTGCCTGGGGTAGGAGAACATCCTGCATCCATGGATGGTTCTGGATTTCTTCGAAGGATGGCCGATCTGATGGTCTCAGGGCCAGACACCACTTAATGAGATGCTGGCATTCTGCAGAAGGAAGGACAGACAGAGGTCAGAGATGACTCAACTTGTTTTTGTGATACAAAGGTCTTCCCAAGGCTCACAAGCCTGGGTTTTTTTTTAAAGAGGGGGTACTCTATTCAGAACACTGCTGGGCCCCAAGTACGGAAAGCCTTCTGTCTGCTCTCAGCTAAAAAGTGGCTCCCCTCTTAAACCTGTGGTTTGAAACTTCAAATAGCACGGGCCTTTCCCACGACACCCACTCACCAGAAATAGGAAGGATGACAAGGGTTTTGATGAGCCGTCACTGAGCAAGATGAGGTGATTCAATTCACCTACCAACTTACAAACACTGACACCACTCAGGATGAGGTCACCGGGACCACAATATTTACAGAGCTATTGCCTTTAGGCAAGTCGACTTAAACAGCTCTTGCCTTTTTAATGCCAGTACTTAAAATTTTACAGGGTCTAGTGGTTGGGGCGGGATGTATATAAATAAAACCTGTTCCAATTCCACAATGACAAAAAAACAAAAACAGAAACACCCCCCCACACACAAAACCACAGGATTCCAAGGCCATCAAGAACCCACTTGGAGGACAGAGGCCCTACTTGGGCGACATTCTCCTCAAAACTAAATGAATAGAGTAAATGATGGCTAGAATATAACCCCCACACCCTCTTCTACAAAGTACCAGATCTCTGTTTCATTCCTGTAATCCCAGCACTCTCAAACCAGCCTTTCAAATATAACCCCAGTGCTAACCAAAGGGCTTCGGGAAAGTTACCTGAAGAGACCCTTTGCCTGAAGAACACTTGGCCCTTGATGATCTCTTCGTCATGCTCAAACGGAATATCTCCGCAGACCATGTCATAGAGCAGGATCCCCAGAGACCAGACTGCAGCCGACCTGCCATGGTACCGATGGTAGCGAATCCACTCTGGAGGACTGTACACTCGGGTTCCTGCCAGCCGAGGGAATTGAAAGAAAACAGCACAGCGTTAGCGAAAATAAACAAAGCAACCAGGCTGAGGAGCTTCTTTGGAAAAATTTCTTTTGGAGACAGAGTTTCTCCGTGTAGCCCTGGTTGTGCTGGAACCAGATCTGCACACCAGGCTGACCTCGGAGATCAGCCTGCTTCTTTCTGCCTTGAATGCTAGGATAGAAAGGTGTGTGCCACCACCATCTGGCTTAAAAACACATTTTTTTCCCTTCTCCAAAACCGGGAAATATGGTGCCTCTCCTGCCTCAATTCTAACCCTAACCCTTACAAACTGCCTTGAAGACCCTTTGCCTGAAGAACACTTGACCCACAGAAAAGCTGAGGCCCTAGGCGGTGGAGTTCAGTTGAGATACAGCCTGTCAGGATCCCCTTCTGAAAGCTTTCCTCCGGGTTCCTGGCAAGCAGAGCAGAATACCTACACTTTCCTCCCCAGACAGGCAAGGCATGGTTACAGGACTGGTTTCAGACCACGTGATTCCTGTTTACAAACTTTGGATAGTAAAAAAAAAAAAGTGCTAACCTCATGGTGCTCAACAGGGGGCAGCAAAGACTTGCCCAGGGGGAGAAAACACACACACAAGGGAGGACTCAGCCAGCCATTAACTGTTAAATTAAAAAAAAAAAATGCAGCCCAACCCAGCGTCCTCCACAGGCAAAGACACACAAACCGCAAGGCAGTCACAAGTTTTGAAAGGCAGTCGTTTGTTAGGGTGAGCCGCTCAGATCATAAGCCACCCTCTGGCTTTGATCTGCTACCCCTCCATTCCTTTTCTGAAAGGACGCGATCCCAGCCCCTCCCTATGATAGGTTTTCTGTCTCCCTGCGGGAAACACCCAGCTAATTTTCAAACCAGCAACAGATCTTACTTCACAACATTCATTCCAGGCTTCGTCACCCCACAGCACCCCCAAGTGTAGTGAAACCACAGCTCTTGTTCTTTGACCCTCAGAAACAAAACAAAACAAAACCCCTGCAGTCCTAAGAACTACCTTAAAACTCGCCCACAAAACAAAACAAACTACAAAACCGGCATCAATGTCTCCCGCCACCGCGGGCTCCACCTCCTTCTCATGAGGAAAGTGGGTCAGACTTTAGAAATATGGGCTATAGCCGGTTGCCTACGACTTTTTAATTCACCGGGAAAGCATGGAATTTAACTAAATTCCACCGAAGGGGAAAAAAATTTACAACCACGCCAGAAATGTTGCAGGTTGGTTCAGACGGCTTGAAATCCCCGGCTGTAGTCTGCCGGGAAGCTCGCCTCTGCCCCACCCCTGCCAGCACGGAGCCAGGCGGCCCAATGACCTTTACAAAGGGCCGGAGCCCAGGCCGCCGGCGGCTTCCAGGCCGGCACCTTAGGCAGCTCCCACCCCGGGGCCCGGCTCACCATCGAAATCCGTGTAGACCGTGTCCTTGAGCAGCGCCCCCGACCCGAAGTCGATGAGTTTGAGCTCGCCGCGGTTCAGGTCGATGAGGATGTTCTCGTCCTTGATGTCGCGGTGGAGAACCCCGCAGCTGTGGCAGTGCCGCACGGCCTCCAGCACCTGCCAGAAGAAGCTCCGGGCCAGCTCCTCCTGGAGGGCTCCCCGCTCCGTGATGAAGTCGAAGAGGTCTTGCACCGGCTCGGGCCTCTCCAGGATCAGCACGAAACTGTCGGGCCTCTCGAACCAGTCCAGAAGTCTGATGACGCCCGAGAAGCCCGAGCTCACCTTCTTCAGCAGGACCACTTCCATGGGCACCCGGGTGCCGTTGGGCTGCGAGGGAGAGGGCCGGGGTGAGCGCGCCGGTTCCGGCACGCCCGCCGTCCCCACCCACCCACCCACCCACCGGGACGGGGGTCGCGGGCTCGGGAGCTCACTCACCAGCTCTCCCCAGTCGGAAATCCGGTCCTTCTCCACGTGCTTGATGGCCACCTGGGAGAGAGCCCCGAGTCTCCATCAGATTCCCTGTCTTCCCCACACACACTCGGCGCATCCCTCCCCAGGGCGGCGGTGCCCACTCACCGGCAAGTTGTCGGCGACGCGGATGCCGGAGTAGACCGAGCCGAAGCCACCGCTGCCCAACAGCGGGCCCACCTGGTACTGCGACTCCAAGGGCTCCTTCTCTTTGCCTGGGGAGGCGGCACGGGACACTCAGCGCGAGGCCCACGCAGGGGTCTCCCCCCGGGCGCGTGCCCCGCCACACACACACGCACCCGCGCCCCCCCGCGCGCCCGGGGTGGGGTGGGGACACTCACCCGGCGCCAGCTTGGTAGCGTGCAGGTCGTTGCAGGGCGCGGCGCGCAGGTGGGCCAGGGAGTTGATCTTGGACAGGAGCATCCCCACCTCCAGGGTGCCGGTGTGGTGCCGGTGCTGGGACGAACAGCAGCGGCGGCGGAGCGAGCTGGGGCTGCGCCGGCGGCCGGGGCTCAGACTGCGGGTGGCGTTGCGGCTCGGGCTGCGGCTGGCGGCGCGCAAGGCCGAGGGCGAGTCAGAGGACGACTGAGGGCGCTGGCGGGGCTGGCGGCGGGCGGGCTCGCCGGCCGGGTCAGGCAGTGCGGGAGGCGGAGGGGCGAGTGGCGCCGCGGGACCCAGGGCTGCTGCTGCTGTCTGCGACTGCCGCTGTGGCTGCTGCTGCTGCTGCTGCTGCTGCTGCCGCCTCTGCCGCTGCCGCCGCTGCTACTGCCGATCCCGCCGCCGGCACTGCCGACTCCCCTCCAGCCTCCTCCGCCACCGCGGCCGCTGCTGCAGACGCCCGGCTCGCCCTGCCGCCAGGAGTAAAGGGGCGGAGCGCGCCGCTGGGGAGGGCGCGCGCGGCGGGCGGGGACGGGGCGGGGCCTCTCCGGGAGGCCGAGGCGGGGAGCCCGGCTGGCGCGGCGGCGGAGGGCGGAGAGGGGGCGGGGAGGCGGCGGAACCAGGGCCGCTCCCCCTCCGCTCCGCCCCCTCGCGGCTGCGCCCCTTTCCCCACCCCCCGCGGCCCCACCCCGCGGGCGCGGCTCCAGCCAACCAGAAGCGAGCCGATCTGCATAACGCGCGGCGGGCCCCGCCCCGCGCCTCGCGGTCAGAATGGTCTCTAACGCCGCCACGACGTGGCGGGAAGGAAAAGGCGCCAAAACGGAGGGGGAGGGGCGCTGGGCGTGCGGGGAGGCGGGGTCTGGGTGGCGCGCGCGGCCGGGGAGGAAGGATGGGGAGGGGCGTATCGATTCAAACCCAAACAATAACAAAGCCATCAAAGGCCGCCCGGGGCCAGCTCCGCGGGCCGGCTCTAGGGCTCTGCGAGACTCGGGGCGTGTGTGTGTGTGTGTGTGTGTGTGTGTGTGTGTGTTGGGAGGGAGCGTCGAGGGCAGGAGCTGGAGCTGGAGCGTAGCGAGTTTGGGAGACGTGGAAGGGCGTTGGTGTGGCCGGCGCGGCGGAGGCCGTGCGGAGGGACCGCGTGCGTGTGTCTGTGTGTGTGTGTGCGCCGATCAGGGTGGTCCTCCGGTGTGACTCAGCCCTAAGACCTCCAAGGCTGCCGGGGCGGGGTGACGATGCCGTGGGCTAGATCCTGGGGGTGGTGGTTGTGTTTTGGGGGGCGAAGGCTGTGCAAGACGTGAGTCACCGGCGCGTGCACACCGAGGGAGTGAAAGAGTCACAGGCAGGCCTGCGAGGAAAGTGGGGGCGAGCTAGGCTTCTTAACAGAGACCGGGGGACTTGGGCTGTGAGGAGCCGGTGATAAATTTTAGAAATGGGGAAAAAAAAGATTAAAAAAAAAAAAAGAGGTAGCAGTAGGTCCTGATCCACTCAGAAATTACCCTTGTCCGAGTGCCTGAGACAGAGGAAATCACGACACAAATGTTAGCTTTCTGGTGCCAGATGCTGCCTCAGCCCCTTCTGAAGAGGGCGGGAGGAAGGAGGAAAATTCCTGATCGCGGCTAGGGTGGGAGGGTGCCGCTGTGTTTAATCAGAGGTTGCCAGGGTAGTCACCTTCTCATCGGCTTGGTATTAGCAGTCAGGCGATACCAGCTGTTATTGGCCCCGACCTCAGCCTTGTCTCAAAGGAAAGTCCCCACATACACGTGGAAATACCACGGAAAGCCAGCCGATTTCGCTTTCCTCTTTTGTCCTTTTAAACTTCATGGAGAGAGTTGATGACTGATGCGAGGAGCTGGTGAGCTCCCATTCTATGTAATCCATAGGTTGAATTCTTCGTGGTCAAAGCAACTGAAAGCTAACCGCATCCCATTTAAGTTGTTTTTGTTTTTAAGTCGGATGGATTTAAAGGAGGCATGAGCCTGTTATAGATGCAGTTGTTAGCGCGTTTAAACGTTTACAAGTTTTCCGTGGTGCTTATAAAAGATGCCCAGAGACTCCATAACTTTAATGGGCACCTCTTAGAAAACATTACATATTTCCCTTTTGTTTGTGTTCTGTGGCCTAACTCATTCAGTTTTGATGACGAAAGGAGAAAAACCCCAGGGGAACAAGCATTGCTTCCCTTTTTGCAGATAGGAAAATGAAACGTAAGTAGGGATGACTCGGGGTCATACAACAGCTAACACAACAGCCAAGGGATGAAATGACCCGATTTCCGCTCCTTGAGTGTTCAGAGATTTCCCATTACCCAGTCTTGAAACTCGTAAGGACACTGGCATTGACCAGGACACCAGGAAAGGCACAAGTATGGCTGGAGTGGTACACACATCTTCAATCCCAGCATTCTGAACCAGGCTAGCCTTGTCTAGAGAAAACTTGTCTCCACATAGATAATTTCTTACTAGTTCTTGTAGACGGAGCAGGTCCCGAACTCAGATCCACCTGCCTCTGCCTCCCGAGTGCTGGGATTAAAGGTATGAGCGAGCCACCACCTCCCGGGTCATAAATAGATCATTTTAAAAGCCCCAGGATAGCTGGGTGTGGTGGCGCACGCCGTTAATCCCAGCACTCGGGAGGCAGAGGCAGGCGGATCTCTGTGAGTTCGAGGCCAGCCTGGTCTACAGAGCAAGTTCCAGGACAGCCTCCAAAGCCACAGAGAAACCCTGTCTCGAAAAAAACCAAAAAAAAAAAAAAAAAAAAAAAGCCCCAGGATGCCTCCAGGTCTTTAATTTCCTCCACCAGGCCTCGGCTCTGTCCAAACAGAACTGTTTCCACTACCCTAGCAAACGCTTATTCCAGACTTTGTGCCTCCTGTCCTGGAAGTGCCCCACCCTCTTTTAAAGGTGTAGGATGTTGGGAAGTAAGTCCGGGGTGGTACCTGCACAGCCTGGCACTGAGCCATACTCCAATCCTCTCTCTTTATTCAAAGCCTTGCCTTCTGAACGAGGGAGGCAAATGTACTTCCACATCTTTGCTGAACAAACTCCAAGCGTTCATTCCCTGTGCCTTCCACTCATCTGACAGTCATGTGGGGTCATTAAAAAAAGTCTGTCTGGGCTGGGCATGCAGCTCAGCAGGCGGAGTGCTTGCTTGCCTGGCATACGTGAAACCCTGGGTTTGATCTGTCACTTCGTATATGGATGGCAGCAGGCATGGAGGATCCAAGCACACAGGAGGTAGAGAAAGAAGGATCAAAAGTTCCAAGTCAGCTGGGCGTTGGTGGCTGGTGCACGCCTTTAATCCCAGCACTCGAGAGGCAGAGGCAGTCAGATCTCTGTGAGTTCGAGGCCAGCCTGGTCTACCGAGCAAATTCCGGGACAACCTCCAAAGCAATATAGAGAAACCCTGTCCTGAAAAAAAAAGAAAGGAAGAAAAGTTCAAAGTTAGCCGGAGATACACAAGATCTTGTCTTAAAACAAAAAAGCTTCCTGTTTGCTAATTTTTTTCTATCATCTCCTCACTTCACTTAGTTTATATTTTCTACTTTTTTTTTTTTTTTTTTTTTTGACAGACAGGATTTCTCTGTGTAACACTGGCTGTACTAGAACTTGCTCTGTAGACCAGGCTGTACTGGAACTCACAGAGATCCGCCTGCCTCTGCCTCAGGAGTGCTGGGATTAAAGGCGTGCACCACCTCCACCCAGCTCAAAAAAGAAAAAAAAAGTCAGCTGGGTAGTAGCTCACGCCTTTAATTCCAGTCACCCGGCTTTTCTTGCACTCCTGAATATATCGCTGTAGACTCCAGAGCACAAGTGAGTCTCAGACAATTCTTTCCCTTCGGCCTTCCAGTCTACAAGACAAGCTTGTCCCACCATGCCCACCTTTCACCCATCAGTTACTGATAGACAAGAAAGAATATGACTCAAAGGTCATGATTAAGATCAATTTATGAACCAGGGATAGTGGCTCATACACATAAGCCTAGCACTTGGGAGGCTGAGGCAGGAGATTGCCAAACTGAGCTATATAGTAAAGCCAGACTTATGGCTGATACCATAGCTCAATGATAAACACTCACCTAGCATTTCTGGGTTTCATCCCCAAACAGGGCAAACAACAACAAAAGCCCAATACGTTTAAGTGGACTCAGGAAAAATGAAGAAGGTGAGAAAAAAATAAACTAAAAGATTCAAATAGGCTGCTCTCAGTCCTGGGAAGTGGTACCTGGTGGCTATGAAGATGGCCGTTTGCAGATAGGATTTCCCACCTCCTTGCTGTAAGAAGCGAAGGGAAGCCCGTATGTGAGAATCCTTGCTCCAGACACCGCTCCAACTCCTGACAAAAGCCAGCTATGATGACAGCAACAATGCCAATTGTGATAGCAACAGGAAAAGAGATTGGTGGAGTCATTTTATTATTACCACTATTATTATTACATTTCTGTGGGTCAAAGGGGCATGGGTGCACATCCCAGTGAGTATGTGGAGGTCAGAGGGACAACCCTTGGGACTTGGTGCTGGAATGTTCCTACACCTAGAAGGGTCCAAAGGTAAAATACTGGATAAGGGCAAGGGAGTTGGCTTTGTAGGTGAAGGTGCAAGCAGAGTTTGATTCCCCAGGGTCCTCGAATTCCCCCCAAGTGAGGATCGGAGAAAAGATGGCTCAGCTGTTAACAGCAATCACTCCTCTTTTGGAGTCATCTGAGTTTCGTTCCCTGAACACACACAAGTCTGCTGGATCAAATCCCCCCGGAACGCTAGCTTCCAGTGACCCTAAGTCCTGTCCTGGTCCCTTCAGGTTCCTACCCTCACACAGTCCTGCTCCCTTACAACCCCCCCCCACTTAATTTAAAATATTAAAAAGAAACACGAGGGAAAAAAGAACCTACTTTAAAAGATAATGAATTATTGGTTGGGTGTGGTAACACATGTAATCCCAGCACTCTGGTGCCAAGGCGAGCCAACGGTAAGTTCCAGGTCAGCCCGGGCTACCTAATCAACCCTGGGGGGGAAGAAGGGGGGAGCGGGAATGGAGAAGACTAACAAAGAATCAGAACACTCACCCTGATAATAAAATGACACTTGGTTCCGGAAACAAAAAGAAGGCGAAAGCCAAAGTTTCGGGCAAAGAGTAGCTTTTGCTGTCACTAAGCTAGACACTAATCAAAATGACCCATAGGTCATTTCCATAAGATAGATTTAACCAAGTTTGTGTCAAAGGTTGAACAGCAATGTCTGTAATCAGAGAAGTGTAGGAGGAAGTTTGAAGGGACAGCCATACGAGCTTTGTTTATTTTTTGTTTTTCAAGACAGGGTTTCTCTGTATTGCTTTTGTAGGCTGTCCTGGAACTCTGTAGACCAGGATGGCCTCGAACTCACAGAGATCCGCCTGGCTCTGCCTCCCGAGTGCTGGGATTAACGGCGTGCGCTACTGTCATCCAGCGACTTTTTCTTGTTAAGGTTTTTAAGTTAATTCAGTAGAAGTAATTAATATCTGCCCGATTTACTTCCCTCTTACAAAAAAACTTACCCTAGGCTGGATGGGTGTGGTAGTGCCTGCCTTTAGTACTGGGAGCCAGAGGTATGAGGAGCTCTGAGTTCGAGGAGGCTAGCCTGGTCTACAGAGTGAGTTCCAGGACAGCCAGGGCTACACAGAGAAACCCTGTGGGGGTGGGGGGAGGAGTAAGAAATAAGAAAGGTGAGGGTGGGGCCCTGGGCTCAGTCGCTGGAGTAATTGCCTGGCACCTTTGAAGTCCTGCATTTGATCCCAAGCACTGCCTAAACTGGAAGAGGTGGGCCATCTAGATGACCCAGCAGACAGAGGCACTGGATGAGGACAAGATGACTCAGCATGTACAAGCACTGGATGAGGAAAACTGCAGTCGCAGGGCATTTGATGAGGAAAACTGCGGTCGCAGGGCATTTGATCACTGAAGCTATTCCTGGTGGAAGGAGAGAACTGAGTCCATAAAATTGTCCTCTGACCTTCACAGGGATCTGCGTGCACACATGCGTGCTCACACACACACATAATAATAATGAATTAATTTTTTTAAGTTAGAAGGTATTCTATGGGCTGGGCGTTGATGGCGCATGCCTTTAATCCCAGCACTCAGGAGGTAGAGGCAGGTGGATCTCTGTGAGTTCGAGGCTGGGCTGGACCGACAGCCTCTAAAACAATACAGAGAAACCTTGTCTCGTAAAACCAAAAAAAAAAAAAAAAAAAAAAACCGAAAAAATAAAGCAAAAGCAGAAAGCCAGAGTGGGGATCTGTAGGATGTCCTGGAGTCCAGCTATAGTATGTGAGAAGTGAAAAAGTCAGCTGACTTTCTTTAAGGAAGGAGAGACAGAAGATCGCCAGCTCAAGTCATCTTTTAAATACCAGCCCACATTTTGGTCAGTGCCCAGAGTGCTTGAAACCCAAATGACAACAAAGACAGCCACTAACCCACTCGATCGCTTGGAGAAACTTAAACTTACTTTTCAGTGTATACTTCCTCTTTTACAACTCTGTTTTGCTTCTCATTTTAGGTGAGAAGCTACTATAAACAGGCCCATCTCAGCACAGCCAGCACAGTCAGACAGTTTGAAGCAGCTTGTTTTGTTTTGTGGGCTTTTGTTTTTGTTTTATGAAAGTGGTGCATTTGAGTGTTTTTTTTTTTTTTTTTTTTTGGTTTTTCAAGACAGGGTTTCTCTGTGGCTTTGGAGGCTGTCCTGGAACTTGCTCTGTAGACCAGGCTGGCCTCGAACTCACAGAGATCCGCTTGCCTCTGCCTCCTGAGTGCTGAGCCACACCACTGCCCCGGGCAAGCAGCTCTTTAATTGTCCTAACAACTCTCAGTCTTCAGGAGCCATGTGGCTGGAGCATGGTGGCACCTGCTTGTGATCCCAGCAGTCACCGAGGCTGAAGTGGGAAGAGCAGGAGTTCTAGGCCAGCTTGAGCTAAACAGAAAGGGCCAGAAAAGACAGCCACTTGGTCGGTCAGCGTCGTATCTGAGATCATCCTTATGAATGGGAAGTAAGCTGGCAAACAGCCAGTCATGAGTTCACTGTGTTTCCTTCCGGCTGGTTTGAGGTCGCCGGGTCTTCACTCCTCTTCCTGACCACTTCGGCCACTTCATCTAAAACGCACAGCCGGGTGGTGGCCCACGCCTTTGATCCCAGCACTGGAAAGGCAGAGGCAGGCAGATCCCTGTGAGTCCAGCTTGGTCTACAGAGCAAGTTCCAGGACAGCCAGAGATACACAGAGAAACCCTGTCTCCAAACACACACACACACACACACACACACACACACACACACACACACACACAAACCCTCTCAGCAATTATTTGTACTGCTAATCCCAGAATTCAAAAGGCTAAACCGGGCTTTGGTGGCACACGCCTTTAATCCCAGCACTCCGGAGGCAGAGACAGGCAGATCTCTGTGAGTTCGAGGCCAGCCTGATCTACAGAGTGAGTTCCAGGACAGACTCCAAAATTTGTGCTCACACCTTTGGTCTCAGCACTCGGGATGCCCAGGCAGGTGGAGATCTGTGAGTTTAATGGCAGCCTGGTCTACATGGAGAGACCCTATCTCAAAAATAAAAAAAAGTACTTGCATAAATTTATTTCCAGATTCCAGGCTGGTGGGACTATCTCAATGATAAAGAGCTCTTGCATAGCATGTACAGGCCCTGGGTTCTTTTCCCAACACTAGAAATAAATAACTATAAATAAATGAATAAAAAGATGGCCAGTTTCCTAAAGCACAGGCCTAGAGGAACAGGTGTGGTCTACTCAAAACTACTACCTATGCCTGGTATGGTGGTGCATGAATTCGATCCTAGACTTAGGAGGTAGAGGCAGGAGGATCAGGAGTTTTAGATTATCTCTGGCTACACAGGGAGTTCATTCACAGCCTGAGCTATACCAGACCCCGTCTAAAGAAACAAACAAATAAAATGTACCTTTTTTAGAGGGTGAGAGCTTGAGATAGGGTCTCACCAAATTCTTGTTGGCCTGGACATCATTATGTAGACCAGCCTGCCTTGAACTTTTTTTTCCTTTTTTTTTTTTTGTTTGTTTGTTTTTGAAGACAGGGTTTCTCTGTGGCTTTGGAGACTTCCCTAGAACTAGCTCTTGTAGACCAGGCTGGTCTCAAACTCACAGAGATCCGCCTGCCTCCGCCTCCCAAGTGCTGGGATTAAAGGGGTGCACCACCACTGCCCTGCCCGGCCTGCCCTTGAATTTACTGCATGCACTATTCTGGCCTTAGCCTCCCCTGTCATTGTCACTGGATTACAGGTATACACTGCCATGTCCAGCTGCTATCTAATATTAGCTGTGTGCTAATTAACCATTTTCTATGACACATATGGCACATGCATATTCATGCACATCCATATGGCACACATGTGCATATTTTTCTCTAATTCTCCTAATTACCAGAATACCTAGAAAATGAAATAAGTTACCCAAGGACCATAGGTGACAAAGATGCAAGCCGTCATTCGTTTCTGGGAGATACCTGGGGTGTCACTGTGTGTTAGAAGGCTCACTCAGATAACAGACAGCATAGGGGTACATTCTAGAGACCCAGAACGTGAGATAATAGATGAAAGACAATATTGCGCCTAAGAGGAATAGCACCTAGTACAACACAAAAATGGGCTGAGAACTGACTTCATGCTAGAGTACTTACTGGTCTGGCACATGTCAGGCCATGGGTTGATACCCTGGTCCTGGTCAGTGCAAAAGCAACCCCTGTAATCCCAGCAGAGGAGGGCATAGGCACTTAGATCTCTGTGAGTTCAAGGCCAGCCTGGCCTATGTAAGGAGTTCCAGGAAAATCAGATCTGCACAGTGAGACCCTGTTTTAAAGGAGGAGGAGGAGGAAGGAAAAGAGAACACTGAAGTTACTATGTGTGAGATGTGTCACGGGAAATTGGCTGCCCAAAGCGAGAGTGTCGAATGTTGGCCAGAGAAGCTTCTCTATGCCGTAGGCAGCAGCTAATGCAGAGCTCACACCGGTTAAAGTGCTGAGAAGTGGCTGCTGAGTGCTCAGCCCTAAACTGGACATCTACACCAACCAACCACCAAGGCTGATGGATGGACAGGAGAGCCTAGAAATGCTGTCCTCTCAGCAGGACATGACAGTTGTACTCATGAGCGCACTACGGCTACGGCTACCTGCACAAGATCTACGTAAGATCAAGCCTACCAGACCAGTCAGCACACTGGCAGAAAGCAATTATAAATAAAACAAAAAATACACAACATGGGCCAGGAGCCTGGGAGAACTGAAACAGGGATTCGGATGCATATGATCAAGATACATTGTGTTTGCATGTATGACATTATCAAAGAATAAATAATAGATATTTGCCTTGCCAGGTGGTGATGGTGCACACCTTTGATCCAAGCACTCTGGGGACAAAGGCAGGCGGATCTCTGTGAGTTTGAGACCAACCTGGCCTACAGAGTGAATGGGAGGCTAGCCAGAGCTACATAGTGAGACCCTGTCTCAAAAAATAAGAAGTTACTCTCCTGTGCCTTGTGCTGGTACTGTCTAACTTTGACAAAATGAGGAAATTACTAATACTGAATGGCTACAAAGTTCAAGGTATTGCCCTAAATTCTGGGAAGCTGGAAGGAAGGTAGAAGAAATAAATCATGGTCCCTGTATCTGTTTCATGGCCTTTTTTTTTTTATGTACACACACATACAGACTCCTAAAGATTGAGAGCTATTAGGACAACTGAAAAACTGCTCACTCAGCAGTGGTGGCGTGCCTTTAATCCCAGCACTCGGAAGGCAGGGTCAGGCAGGCAGATCTCTGTGAATTCGAGGTCAGCCCGGTATACAGATCGAGTTCCAGGACAGCCTCCAAAGCTGCAAAGACACCCTGTCTAGAACAAAACCAAACCAAACCAAACAAACAAACAAAAAAAGAACTACTCATCTGTGCTGAGGAGATAACTAGGACCTGGGATCAAATCTCTGGAATGTACATAAAGCTGGGCAAGGGAGTTATGTCTGTAATCCCAGTCAGTTCTCCTATGGAGAGATGGGAGTGGAGACAGGACATTCCAAGACGAGACTGCCTGAAGCAAATACAAGACAGGGCGTGACTCAGGGTGGAAGGTAAGCACTTACACCCGAGGTTGTCCTCCGACCTCTGCAGGCATCCCATGTGCACACACACACACACACACACACACACACACACACACACACACACACACACACACACAGTCATCTGCTCTCTGCTATATAGATGACTAATACCAAGTCTCAGAGACGCTAGTGACTTGTCAAAGTTCTGTGGCCGTCGTGATGCCACGCTGACTTGGTTGCTGGCACAGGTTGCTTCGATCCTCACCAGGATAGCACTGGTAATGACAGGCTGTCTTTGCCAAGGGCCGCGTTCATGGTATAGAGGCAAAGCAGGCTTCCGGTAACCTGTTTACAGGTTGGAGTGCTTCGATAACCAAAACTTTTTCTGGGGAATTTTCAGGTGCATGGGGACTTTCCAGACGTCTCCTCGCCACGAGTATGGAAAATGGCCTTTCTCCATTCTGCACACCTGCCAGCTTCGCACCAGTCACAGGGTCACAAGGGGAGGTTCTGAAACTGTGTGGCCCTGGGAGCCCTGGCACCTGGAAGCCTGTCAGAAATGCAAATTTTGGGGCTACTCCAGAACCACAAGATCAGAAACTGAGGCGGCAGCAGTGGCGACCATCTGCTTGCCTTTTTGTTTTTGTTATTTTGTTTTGGCTTTTGATACAGGGTTGCATTCTGTAACGCAGACTGCCATCCAGTTCACAGCCTTGTTCCTAAATGCTGGGAATACTGCATTGCATTACTCCTAATTTACTTAATTACATCTGTTTATTGTATGCTTGTGCCTGGGCACATGAGTCTCATGTGTGCCACCATGCCCCCCCTTTTTTTTTCTGGTGGAGTGGGGGGTAGTGGTTTTTGGAGACAGGATCTCCTATGTAGCTCTGGCTGTTCTGGAACTCACTATATAAACCAGGCTGGTCTCAAACTCACAGAGCTCCACCTGCCTGTCTCTCAGATGCTAGGATTAAAGGCGCGCCACTATGCTCTTGTGGAGGTCTAAGGACGGATTTCAGGAGTCATTTCTCTCCTATCATCTAGACCCTGACAAGCTACCTCAGGTTATCAGGTTTGGTAACAAACGCCTTTAGCTCCAGGTCATTTCACTAGTTCCATCTGTCTGTCTGTCTATCTATCTATTTAATTCATTTTTTTGTTCAAAACAGAATCTCCAGCCTGGTCTACAGAGTTCCAAGACAACCAGAGCTACACAGTGAACCCCTGACTGGGGGTGGGAGAGGTCAGAGTCTTCATGTAGGCCTGGAACTCACAGTAATCTCAAATCTCAGCATCTGGTATTCCGATATCTGGGATTCCCTAGGTGTGGTATTCCACACTTTTACACCCAGAGATGTAGAGGCAGACAAAAGTGGATCTCTGGGAGTTCAAGGCTAGTCTGTCCAACAAAGGACCCTATCTTGTAGTTGGATTTTCTTTAGACCGCCAGCTCCCAAATAATGACATGGAGACTTCTTATTAAGTATGAAAGCTTGGCCTTAGTTTAGGCTTGTTCCCAACTAGCTCTTACAACTTAAATTAACCCGTTTATATTTACTGCACTCTGTCACGTTGCTTGTTATCTCTCAGTACTGTGTGTCCCGTTTCCTTTCCATCTGGCTGGTGAATCCCACGCACCTCAGACTCTCCACGGAAGTCCCACGTATCCTTGCAAAACCTAGCTGTTGGCCTACTGGCTGTGCAGCTTTTCTTTTTTTTTTTTTTTTTTTTTTTTTGGTTTGGTTGTTTTGTTTTGTTTTATTAATGTTTTTCTTTTTTTTTTTCTTTTTTTTTTGGTTTTTCAAGACAGGGTTTCTCTGTGGCTTTGGAGGCTGTCCTGGAACTAGCTCTTGTAGACCAGGCTGGTCTCGAACTCACAAAGATCTGCCTGTCTCTGCCTCCCAAGTGCTGGGATTAAAGGCGTGCACCACCAACGCCTGGCCACTAAGGGCTTTCTTAATAACTCTTCTATAAGCTGAAGCTGGAGGACCTCGAATTCAAGGCAACTCATTGAGACCCTGCCACAAAATTCTTATGAAAAAGTAAGGCGCCTAGAGAGACGGCTGAGGGTTAGAGCGCTGGCTGTTCTTCCAGAGGACCGAGTTCTGTTGCTAGCATTCACATGGTGGCTTCCAACTGTTAACTCCAGCTCCTGGGGAATCTGATGCTATCCTCTGGCCTCCAGGGACATCTTCAGGGACATACAACATACACAGCACACACAGAGCATTGCTCACGCACGTGCATACAAGCACGCACACACACACACTTATTTTTTTAAAAGCTTTGAACCTTCATCATAGCATGTGTGATGTTTGTTTCAGAGACTGAGTTTCTCTGTGTAGCTTTGTAGATCAGACTGGTCTTGAACTCACAGAGATCTGCCTGCCTATGCCTCCGGAGTGCTTGGATTAAAGGAGTTTGCTACCACACCCGGCACAAATAATTTTTTTGAAGAGGGAAGGTTCTTGGACTCAGATGAAGATTACTTGCTCAAGCATATGCAAGGCCTGGGGTGGGGGTGGGTGGTGGCAAGGTTGACTCTGAAATCCAGGTCCCATCCAAGGCTATGACAGGACAACCTTTTTTGATGACTCGGGCTAGGTCATAGTTGATTGTCAAGTCTCTGAGGAGTCATTGTTTCTTGTTTCCCATGGGCTCAGGTTCCCCTCCCCTCTCCAGTCCTGACTCAGCCTGTTGGAGGTTGGACAAGTTGAACCTCTGAAGACTCAGTTTCCTTGCCTATAATTGAGGCTAATAATAGCCCCCTCCTAGACACGATTCAATAATTGCCAGGTACAGCACAGGCGCTTGGGACACGGTGACTTAGCCTGGCAATTAACCATACGCAGTGGCACCATCAGTGACGTTCTGGCTGTAACGCTTACACCTGTTCGGCACTATGGCGAGCCGTTTTACTTATGTTTATGTGCAGAGACAGGGTCGGTCTGATTATAACCCTGGAGCTCTCTATGTGGACCAGGCTGGCCTTGAACTCATGGAGATCTGCTTGCCTATGACTGCTGAGTCCTGGAATTAAAGACACATAGGCTGTCAAAGCATGCTGGAATCCTCTTGGGAACATCTGGAGCCCTCTCCTTCCATCACCTGGGCTAGTCTTGTGATCAGGCCAGAAGGTAACTGTCAGTGTCCTCTTCGAGGTCCCTCACCTGAGTGGCCCAGAACCCCAGACTTCTGACGCTGGAGAATAAACTCCCTAATTAATAGGAACCTGCCCTGTGTCTGCTTCACCAGGTCTGGTGAAATCCTTGGGATGTAGGAAGCACTATTGAACGCTAGTGCGGCTCTCCGTCCACTCTTGGGTAACAATTACCTCTCAGCAGCACCTTGCACTAAACGGTAAGTGATACATTTAGGGCAATCGCCAAGGCCATCCATGGGGAAAGATATTTTAAGCAGGGGATTTCCTCAAACCCATCAAATTATCATGTGGACAGCTGCCTGTCCCACATGACCTGGCAACTTCTCAGGTGTGCAGGTAGCCATACTCCAGGATGATGGAAGAGCAGGTCCTCCCCTCCCCTCGATGAGGCTTGGAAGCAAGGTCTACACCATTTGAGTTACTTCACGTAAAAGGTATCCACTCTAAGCCGGGCGTTGGTGGCGCACGCCTTTAATCCCAGCACTCGGGAGGCAGAGGCAGCCTGGACTACCGAGCGAGTTCCAGGACAGCCTCCAAAGCCACAGAGAAACCCTGTCTCGAAAAACCAAAAAAAAAAAAAAAAAAAAAAAAGGTATCCACTCTAGAGTCATGTGTTGCATGGGTTTAGCGTAGACACCTAGACACCTCTGCCTAAAATTCCAAGCCATTCACTTATTCCCAATAAGTTGTTGCAAAGTAAACTCTGAAAACAATACTAAAAAATTTAGGGATGTAGCCAAGCATAGTGGCCCACACCTTTAATCCCAGCACTAGAGGCAGAGGCAGGTGGATATCTGTGAGTTTGAGGCCAGCCTGGTCTCTAGAGTGAGTTCCAGGACAGCCTCCAAAACAATACAGAGAAACCCTGTCTCGAAAAACCAAAAAAAAAAAAAGTTGAATGGCCAATTGGCCAATATCCAGGGAGGAAGTATAGGCAAAACTTCCAGGCAGGGAGAGTAAGTAGGAGGAGGAATTTAGACTCAAAAGAAAGAGGGAGAGAGAGAGACAGAGAAAGGGAGGGAGAAAAGGGACATGCCAGTAGCTAGACAGACAGACACGGAGGAAGCAGGAGAGTAGGACACACAGATTGAAAGGTAAAAAGCCCCAGGCAAAATGTAGATGAAGAGAAACAGATAAAATTAAGTTAAAAGAACTAATGTACAAGCCTAAGCTTAGACTGAGTATTCATAATTAGTAAGCTTCCATGTCTTTATTTAGGAGCAAGTTGGTAGCCCAAAGACATTTCCAACTACAAAGTACTTACTTCAAGAAGGAAGAGCCAGGGCACATCACAATCTGGACAAAGTCAAACCAAACTCCAACAGTGGGGGAAAAAACCCCACAATATCCAATGTCTGGAACCCAATCATGATCTTCTGGGCTCCTCCAAAGGGCCTGGGTCTCTTCTCCAGCTCTGCACTCTACGCTCCGGCTGGCTCCCCTCTGTACCTGGGGCTGTGCTTAGAGGTTGCCCATCGTGCTCACTGGCGTCTCAATGCTGGGGTCTTCAGCTACGGCTGGGCTGCACTTTCACCCAGCCTCTCCCAGGCTCTCTCCAGGGACTCCGACCCTGCCACACAGCGCCAAGTCTCAGCTGCCCTCCGGGACCCGTTCATGCCCTCAAAACCAGCAGGTGAGACACTTACACTACCGAGTGTAAGCGATACGGCAGGGTCAGTGGCACACTCCCAGCACTTGAGAGGCAGAGGCAGGTGGATCTCTGTGAGTTCAAAGCCAGCCTGGTCTACAAAATGATTTCTAGGACAGCCAAGGCTACCTACAGAGAAACCCTGTCTGGAAGCAAAAACAAAACAAAATAAAAACAATCTCTAAGCCTGGCGTTGGTGGCACACGCCTTTAATCCCAGCACTCGGGAGGCAGAGGCAGGCGGATCTCTGTGAGTTCGAGGCCAGCCTGGTCTACAGAGCGAGTTCCAGGACAGCCTCCAAAGCCACAGAGAAACCCTGTCTCGGAAAAAAAAAAAATCTCTATGCTATTCTAAGGGGAACTGCCTAGATCACACAGAACCAATCCAGACTCTAGAATCCCCACTCGGAACTCCAGATCAGCAGGTTTCCATGCGTGCCCCCACAACCAGTAACTGTAACACCAGGAACTGGTACCAGATACTGACCCAGAACTACGGGGGGAAAAAAAAAAAAACCAGATGCAAGGAGCCTGCAGGAAACTAAGTTCACCCTAGGAGTCATTCACTGCCTCAGCTTTCTTTAGGCTGTCCTTTCCAAGGAAGAGTATATGGAGAGTTCTGGAAGGAATTGCCAGGGTTCTTTTTTATCTATTGGTTTGGTGTGCCTTGACATTCTCTTCACACAGGAGGAATGCAAAGCCTGGTAGACAAAACATGAACCAGACCTGTTCCTCGGAACTCTGAAGTCAGTTTTCCTTGGCTTTGCTTTGACCATTAAAAAAAAAAGATTGCTTTACCGACCCACTGGTCTCTGAACTTTTCCCTTTTCTAGTAAAAGTCCAAATTCCAGCTGGAGTCCGGACCCACAGACAGCACCCTTCTTCAGAAGCCGCTTTCCCCCACGCTTTGCCGAGTTCCAGAGATAAGATAAATAATTTACCAAATGTAGGTTTCTGGCTATTCACTCTGATAGCATTTAGAGCTATGAGCTCTGGCCCCAAGGGAGTTTGATTTGTTCAGATGCAACCCATCTGCTTTTTTTTTTCCTGGGGAGCTTTTTTTTTCCGGGGGTGTAGGGAGGGAGGGGGCTGGGGTTGCCTGGAAAATCCAGGGAGCTCCCAGCATCCCACACATATTTCAGGGATGAACTGCTTCGGTTTAGGGGTTTTACTGGAAATTCTGGAGAATGCTATTTTATTACTTAAAAAACACTCAGCTGCTGGGGCTCTTCCCCCCACCCCATGCCTCCCTCCACCCTTTAAGTTGAGTAAAAACAAAACTCCAGATATGAGACACACCACATCTATAATCCCAACACTTGGGAGTTTGAGGCAGAGGATTGTTTCTACTTAAAGGCTAGCCTGGGCTACTGGGTGAGACCTAGTCTCAAAAACCAACAACAAACAGCAAAACCAGGCACACAGACAGATGCACATTGTCCGGAGTGAGCTATCAAGAAGGGTAATTTCAATGTTGTGCAATCCATTTATCCGAAATTCCTGGGGCACTCTTATCAGTGTCATTTCAGGGATTTCAGAGAACAGATTACAGTGTTTCTCCAAAATCAAGAGCCACTAGGGAGAAAAAGAGCCCGTGCATTCCATGCAAACGTTCTTCTCCCCCAGTTCCTGGAGAATGGTGGGGTGAAGGAGGGGCTATCAGGCTGTAGCCTGAGACATCAGTACTGCTTCCTACAGAAAACAAAGCAAAAGTGACAGGTCCTGAGGCTCATGCAGTCACAGAGGAGAAACAAACAACTGTATGCTAGAACCTTCTGTTTGACAACAGTCCCCAAGTACTTCATGCGGCTGTGAACTCCGGCTGCTCCTGATCTGCTGCCTAGTCCTTTAAAACACCGGCACTTTCTTAGGATAGCCTGATGGACAATGTACTCTGCCATTTATTTTTTTTACAGTTTTAAGGGCTTATTATTTTATTTTAGATAAGATTTTCACATATCGTCGGGCGTTGGTGGCGCACACCTTTAATCCCAGCACTTGGGAGGCAGAGGCAGGCAGATCTTTGTGAGTTCGAGACCAGCCTGGTCTACAAGAGCTAGTTCCAGGACAGGCTCCAAAGCCACAGAGAAACACTGTCTCAAAAAAAACCAAAAAAAATTTTTTTTCACATATTCCCAGACAGCCTGGAATTTTCTATGTAGCTGAGAATGACCTTGAATTGTAAGTAGGTACACGAAACACAGTAACTCAGCCTTCTTGTATTCTTTTTTCTTTTCAGTGTGTGTGTGTGTGCATACACATATGTGTATTTGAAAGTCAGAGAACAACAGAGAGAACTCTGTTCTTTGTACCCAAGGACCTTTAACCCTCGGAGTCATCTCCCTGGCAGCTGTTTCTGGAAAGACTGAGCTTGTCTAGGTGGTGTTTTCTAGTGGTGTGTGATCATCATTCTGCTGATCCCCAAAGAAAAGAATTTGGGGTTGGGCCTCAATTTGATGGAGTTTTGGCCTAGCCTGGGCTACAAGACACTGCCTCCAGACATGCAAACAAAAGACAAGTATGGGCTTGGCGGCTCATACCTCAGTGCTAGTGCTGGGGAGGCAGAGGCAGGCAAACAACTGAGTTCAAGTCCAGCCTGGTCTACATATCAAGTTCCAGGCTAGCTAGGGCTACACAGTGAGACTTTCTCAAAAAAAAATTTTTAAAGAAAAGAAAAGTAAATAAAAAAGGAATGGGGAAACAAATTCACTAAGCGTTGAAAGGTTAGGTGAGGGCGAGAGGAACCCTTGTGCTTCACGCTCTGAGTCTGAAGCAATTAGAGTGAAAGGTGTATTAGGGGAAAAAATACCTGCCACCTCTTCTGTTTCTGTGGGAGATTAACCTACTTTCCTAGTTCATTTTCTCTCTGCCGCATCACTGAGTGTAAACGCTGCGGTAGCTCGTAGCCTCTGAGGGCTGCGGCAGCATCTGCGCCGCTAGTTTGGGGCCTCTCGGGGACACACAGAAGAAGCCCTTCCCTCCCCTCACCCGGTTTAAAAAAAAAAGTCTGCGGTAGCTTTGCCACGTTCTCCCTGATCATGAGAATCGGCTACCCACACTCTCTCTGCTCTGCTTGTCTGCGATGGAGAAGGCGGGGACACACCCAGACACCCTCCCGGAGAACTCAGGCCCAGCACCCGCCTTAAGCCAGGATCCCAAGGGTTTCGGGTTGCTCCAGCCCGCATGGTTTTGGTTGGTTGGATGGCTGAATGAAACACAACCTTCCCCGCAGACATCAAAGCCTGTCTCCCTCCAGCCCTCAGTCTCTCCCGTACATTCCAATTTAGCTGAAGCTGCCTTGCATGATAATGAGGCCTAATTATCGCTTTATCCCTTGATTGAGGTGCTGAGTTTTTGAGACAGCGGAGTTCTCGGCTGGGCTACTCTCGCCCTCCCTTCAGTTCACCCCTAGCCTGAGAGTCGGCCTGACATCTTTAGCCTATAAGGTAGAAAGAGGAGCAGGGCTGCGCCTTGAGGGAACCACGTAAGGTCCGAGTAGCAGTCACATTCCTGCCACAACTGTGGGGAGATGTTGCGCATACGGGATGCTCCGAATACCACGAGAGATTTCAGCGATTTATTTCTAGGTTAAAGAGTAAAACAAAGGCCCGGAGCCGATTATCATACTCGTGTCTTCTCTCTCCCCACACAAAGACACTTATGAAATGCTGATAGCCGAGCATGATGCCTCATGCCTTCGACGGCAGCTCCCAGGAGGCAGAGGCAGGAGGAGCCAGGCAAATCCGAGGCCAGCCTGCTCTACAAAGTGCGTTCCAGGTCAACCAAGGCAGTAGAATGGGATCCTGCCCCCCCAAATAACACCACGAAGCTTACGGGATTGTGGGTGTAAGGATTCAGGCGTTACACTGGCCTGCCTCCTCACCTGGCAGAATGCACCCAGGTAGAGCATTCTGGCCAGCCCAGGGTTCCATGAGAACCGAGTCTGCAAGCAGGTGCAAAGGACCCTTTTAAAAGACAGACCCCGCCCACTGCCGCTCTCACTGTACGTGCCGTCCTCCCCCTCACTCTCACGCTCCTTCACTCTTCTCTTACCCTTTCTTCTCTCTACCCCCCTCTTGTCTCCCCGCTTTCGCTCTTCCACCGCTGGAATAAACTATGGCTTGGACATCCTATGGCTTGTGCTCCATTGCCCCGGTCCAGATGCTGTCTCGCGCAATTCCTTTTCCTTTTTGTTCTAATTTTTAAACTTTTACAAAATAACAGTGGGCATAATACCACCAAGCATGGCAAAAAGTTCCGTTATTATTATTATTATTTATTTTTATTGTTAGAGAGTTTGGGCATAGGGGTGTGGCACACCATGAAGTTTCAGGGGCCAGAATTCAACTTTGGGGAGATCAGACTCTGCTCCTCTGTCGGTTTCAGGGATTGAATCTGGTCACCAGGTCGTCAAGGCCGGTCATTTTACCCAGTGCGCAATCGCTCCAGTCCAGGAAGCACCTCGAACCACTGATCCTTCCACCCTTGGAAGTGTGGGCCTCCATGCCCAGCTAGATTTAAAAAAAAAAAAAGAGTCTTATCAGGCGTCCAGAGGGTCAGAAGGCAGCGGTCCCTTGGAACTGGAGTTAGAGACTGTTGTGAGTCGCCTGACTTGGGTGTTGTGAACAGAACCTGAGTCCTCTGCAAACGTGGTAAGTGCCCTGAACCGTCTCTCCAGCCCTCTTTAAGCTAAATTATTATTATTATCATTATATTTATTAAAGCTGGGGGCTGAACCAGGGCTTTGAGCATGGCAAGTAGACATCAGTTGCACGATACCCCTGGCCTAGACAGATGGATGAATTTCACTGAGTCAGGTTTACAGCGTCTTTAAGAAGGACCAACAGTTGTTAGAGAACAAAAATCCTCTTGGAACTCACTGAGATCAGAGAATTTCTGAGCTACAAAAGAGAACCTCCCCCATCCGTAGTCCAGACTCCGGCATCTGAGACGCCGTGTGAGTGGCATGTTGTGTGTGTGTATGGTGGGGGGGGCGGGGGCTTAGATATGCATTTACAGTTCTCAGGCACAAATCAGCTTTTGCTGCTGTCTGGGAGGGTGACCTCAGTAATGAGGGTCGGAGTTTAGCCTCCTACAGGTGAAGGAAGCTGATCCATAGCGCTGTGGAGGGCCAGAGGGACTGGTCACAATGTGACTTCCCTGCCATAGCTTGTCATTTCTTCCAAAAAAATGTATTGTTGTTGTTTTTGGTTTTTCAAGACAGAGTTTCTCGGTGTAACAGTCCTGGCTGTCCTGGAACTCCCAGAGATCTTCCTGCCTCTGTGGAACTCCTGAGTGCTGGAACTTAAGGCACGCGCCACCACCACCTGGCAAAATTTTTTATTATTAAATGTGTGTGTGTGTGTGTGTGTGTGTGTGTGTGTGTGTGTGTGTGCTGGTGTTTATGCTTACATACCATGCTACAGAGGTGGAGATCAGAGGACAAGTTTTGACAGTCTGTTCTCGCCTTCTACCAAGTTCTGGTATTGAACTTGGGTTCTCAGGTTGGCACAAGCACCTTTACTCACTAAGTCATCTTGCTGGCCCACAGCTTGTTATTTCCTTACTCTTGTTGCTCCATTTTTCCAGGTCTAGCCTCTTGAATTCTCGGAATTCCACAAGACTTCTTGGGCAATGTAAGTAGGGCTGTTGAACCCAGGACCCGTGCTTCCATGGGCCCAAATTTTTATCATTCTTTTTGGTCAAATACTGGGGGATTGAGCAAGGAAATTAACTATCCTAAACAGGGAAAAACAAAACAAAACAATGTGGATTAGTAATCTAGTCCACAGGC